GGAGTGAACTTAATTGGTAAGTTTCGAAAAATCACGAGAATACGAAGTACTTTAAACTGTATAAAAAATCAAAAAAAAATTTTTATAAATTGGCTAAGCCACAATATCGATCATCCAAATTCGGGTTTGTCCACCATGCTTTATAAATTACGTACTTTCAAAAACTGTGAATTTTATTCACAATCAGAATAATTCTGAAGTAAGTGTATCAGCTAATAATATCTCACAAGAAACTAAGATCTCATCCACACCTCAGGTAAGTATACAAACTTATAATCACGCTTATTTTTGTAATAAAATATTGTGGAGTTATTCTGATTTATATAAAGAATTTAGTAGTGAAAAATTTGATTATTATAGAATTCATAAGGGGTCATTATATCGAGTATGCAAACAAAGTCATGAGGAAGGAAAAGTATAAAAGATAGATACGAAGCTGGAGAATCAGAGATTCGATGCTCTGCATCATCCTATTTCATTAAATATAGTGGGCATGAAATTGAGATAATGGCATAAGTCATAAAGCCATCTAGATATATTCTTTTGTTTCAAATAATAGTAAATTAATTAACTATATTTTTTTACCATCTCTGGTACTTGCTCTGCTAATTACTATTTTGGGATATGCACAGTATCAGCATATAAGTATCCTTGTTATATAAGTGAGACAAAGATACAATTGGAATTTGCGATCATATAAAACAATAATATGGATAAAGAAAGTGCTTTAACCCTGAATATTTGAACTGGCATGCTAAATTGGTTGATTCACTGAGTCATTTGTCAGATAAAATTTGTTGAGCTTATATAGAGCATATACGGAAGAGACTGAGCTCGATCCCTAGATAAACTCTAAAACTCCTGAACCCCACAAATCGAAAAGGATACCAGAAAAAAGATGTTATTTGTATCACAGATAATGTTCAGCCTACACCATCCAAACTTCTATCATCAATTTCTATTCTACCTAAAGACCCGGAAGAGAAACAAAAACATGTTATTAAAATAGTATTAGAGCGATTTCTTTATTTAGCTTTGAAATATAGTTTTAAATATAGTAATTATTTTAATTTTAATAGATCTGTACTCTGCCCTTTATGTGATAAAAACCATAAAAAAGAAAATATAAGAAATCATATAGAGGGGTTATGGGAGAGTGGTAATTATATCAATATAAAAACATATCGTTTTATATGTTTGGGGAATAAATATCAGAATTCAATCCAAATAGTAACTGTAAAAGCATAAGTTAATAAGAAAACTCTATTATTTCTACCAATTAATAATCACAAACTGCATTGCAAAATTTATGTTAAAATAAAAAATGATGAGCCCAGTGGACCCTCTTTTTATTTATAAAAATTATTATTGCCAAAATGACAATATACAAATAAAAAAATACAAATAATTGTTTTTTATACTATTCAATTTCACCATTATTATATCTTTCTTGATCACTACAATCACCACCAGCACCATCTCCATACCACATATAATTGTCTAAATCATGCTCCTCATCAGAATCAAAGTCTGGATTATCTAAATTAATGCACAGAATTAAACCATATTTTATTTTCTTTGACTTAAAATAGATGTAAAATTTTACTTACCATATCTGTTTCTTCTATTTCTGCATTGACGATTAGAATTAAATGTTCTTTGGCTAGATCTTGGATTGGGTGATATTGAGGTGACAGGATAGATAGTATTGGGAATGTTATTATAATTAGTTCTGAGGGTGGTGACATTAGTTATAGCAGTGGTGTTATTGTTAGTCTTGGAGATGGTGGTAATATTAGTTATGGCAGTAATGCTATCATTAGTCTTGGGGGTAGTAGTATCATTAGTCTTGGGGTAGTAGTATTATTAGTATTGGGGTAATGTTATCATTAGTGCTTATTTTTATTTCTAAATACAAAAAATCAAAGTAAGCAAAAATTTGTTTTTATAGTCTCTGTTAAATGAAATAGCAAATTACTTAAAACTTAATTACAAGCAAGTAAACCAAGTAAAAATATATATGAGCAAAAATAACGTTATTGCTAACTTATCTTGTGGGTGAGAGCTTGCTTATTTTATACTTCATGTTCATTAGGTCTGAGAACCTGCCAGAAGGAAAAATCTATTAGTAATTACAATACCCAAATCCAACACCAGTTTTTTTCTCTATAAAGCAACTCTGCTTGGTCATAAGTTCCGTATACTAAAGCTATTTTGTTATTTTTTCTGGTAAAATTAACCACCCTTAGATTCAATGATCTCTTCTGCGAAGTAAAAAGTCAATGATCTTGACGATCTAGGAATGCCAAGTTCCTGTGACATATGAATTTTGATAAAACTACTGATAAAGAACGTTATATTCATTGCCTTTATAGCCTTTTTAGACACGAAGTGTCCTGCTTCGCAGAGTCCTATTCTTATTGCGAGATCTTATGTAATAATAAAAGCATGTCTAGTTATTTGTAAAATTGGTTAAAGGTTAAAAAATTGATGTTGGAAAGAATTATACATTAAGGTAATACCATATAAAATTTAGTATGAGCAAGCCTTCAGCTAATGTCAACTATTGATTATTAAAGCCAGTCAAGATTTTATCACTATCGTTATTATCATATACGTACTATTTGTTTTTAGAATTTTTTTTTGATTTATTTCGATCGTGATTATGAAGCTTCTATTTTCGGGCTAATAATAAGCAAATTTGAAAAATTGTTTATGAGATAGCTGTAATATATAAACTTATAATAATTAAATATTATAGCTTATTTGTTATCTTATTTTCATGTATGTATATGTACAATATAGTGATAATTCTTTTTTTATTCCAAATGTTTATTATACAAACTAGTCCCATAGCCTAAATTCTAATTTTATTTTTATACGTATTAATCTTGAAACTGATCTTGCATAATTGATTGTGTTAAAATAGAACTACAACATGTATGTACATACCTGAAATGTTGAATTATTTACAACCAAATATGGTATGGTTTCATAGCCATATAATATCGATATAAAAGCCCTCGAGTAATTTTTTACCAATATTATATATTACACTTTCTTACACTAGATAGATTGTTTTTGTGTTAATAAGACAGTTGTGGAACCATTTGTATGAGTATATTTAGTTAAGCAAAAAATTTTGTTTCTACTACTAAAGCGATAGGGTCTCTGACTATGTATGTTGTGAGATCAAACATGCTCATAACTACTATTTGGTAGCTTAGTACTTTGGTAAAAGTAATCATTTGTTTTGCAAAAAATATGCTATCCTTTATAAAATAGTTTTTTCAGATGCAGTCATAACCTTTCGAGGTAGGCTTAGGATTCGATTGTTTCTTCTCTAATTTTTTTTCTTTACTTATAGATGGTGTGATCATTGCTATTATTGTAGTTTGAATGTATTTACCTCAATATGCCATTTTTTTTTATCTTGGGTGTGATCATTATCTTCAATATGGGGCATGCGTAAAGAGAAAGGTGATACAGACTTCCTAAACAACTAAACTATACCACAGAGAGTGATTAAATATATTCACCAGAAAAAAATATATAAACAAAATCTAACTTTACCAATGTTTCTATACTACTATAGATAAGTAAAGTTAAATTCGATCTGAATTAGGTATGTATTGCATTTCAAATTTGTTAATTTGTGTTAAATTACTTTTGTGTTGATAGATCAGCCACCCAGGTTACTTGCTTACGGGTATTCATAATTATGCAAAAAATTTTGCTTAAGTCTTTACCTCTTGACAATAGTATCTTTAACTTGGTATATTATGTATTCGAAAGGGCATAATCATCATTTCTGATAGCTCAGTACTTTGGCTTGGGTGGTTTGTTCAGTCTGCAAAAATAATCAATTAGGTAATTCAATTAGACTATATAAAATATGATTTAATCTTATTTCTTATTTTTTTATATGAATACAACTACACAAGTGAAATTAAAGACTAATTTCTTTAGGTAAGAAGTCTATATATTTTATGTTGTTCTATGTAACCCTACTATTTTATATACGAATTACTAAAAAATTATGATAGCTCAGTTATATTTCAAATAAACAAAAATTGAATTTTATAATAGATATATATATATAGGTCAAAAAACATTAAAAATAACTAAAATCTATTGTTTTCTATAATCAGTAATTAGATCATAAAAATGAGTTTATCACTATATCCTGATACTAATTATACTCCTGAAGAATGGTATAAATATTGTAAAATGCTTCAAGTCTATGAAAATGAAACTCCTGGTAAGTGAAAAGAGTGAATTTGAGACAGTTTACAGTATTTTAGAGAAAATGGTCTTTATCTACTCAAAGCAAAAAATATCTTGAAGCTAGGAAATTGATACTATTTCTCAATAATACTCCATATACTTGTGAAATTAGATTAGCAATTTGTTTCTCTTGTAACCAGTTAATATATTGCAAACAACGAACTCAAAATATAGGTAATTATAATCATATATAAATAGAGAGACATTGGAAATTTTCATACATTAGTAATAAATACTGTGGTGTAAGTCATGATAAATACTTAAAAATCAAGCAAAAACCTAAATAAAATTTTGATAATAAGTATATATTACATCGATATGAATTGTGGATACACAATGCTATCAGAAAAATTGAACATGCTAGAGATGTTAATAGAAAAAATCAAGTATGTATTATTATACAACGAAAGGTTGTTGAGTAGATTTATCAGCCTGATGGATTAACTGCTCAGGAATTAGCATTACATTATACTTGTTTATAGAATGTTTGAGCAGAAATATATCAGGATAGCAATTTATAATTAAATAATATATTATGATCTGATTTATTAATTTATATTAATTATTTATATTTCTAGTATCTTATTTATTTTTTCTAAAGTTTTACAGAACAGAAAAAACTCCAAAGGGTGTGGCAACTTAGTAAAGTGGTGAAGTTGTCACACCCCCAAGCAGCATGTCCAGAGTTCGAATTCTACTGTTGAATATTCTGTTGTAGTATGGTTACTGTCTCTCATTGATCGGTTGGATTTAGGATCTGTAACCAAGGTCGTACCAGATTTCTGAAAGGATTATCAGATTCTGATAAACCATATGAAACCATGAAACCAGAGAGATGGATACCTACTTGGCAAGACCCGAGTGGAGAAATAGCACAAACTTTCGATGGTACTACATAAAGGGGTATTATTAGAAAAAACTAGAAAACTTAACGGGACCAAGATGTATAGCAAAAGTATTCTACCAACAAGGCCGCCAGGGCCAGAGGAAAAGGATCTGCTTAATTTGCAGTTACTAAGAATTGGTAACTTTTGGGTGAAAGTCCCTCCCAGGCCATCTGGATTGGTAGTTCAGACTAGCCAGGTCAAACCAGAAAAACTGAATGGACAAAGTGTTTGAGAAAGCACTTCCACCAACCAGGCCGCCAGAATCAGAGAAAAAGGATCTGCTTAATTGCAAATACCAGGGGACCGGTAACTTTCAGGTAAAAGTCCCTCTCAGGCCATCTGGATTGGTAGTTTAAGATTCGGGAAGTACTTCTAATAGTCTGTAAAGTGGGTACTAGGGTTTGGGCGAACTCTACAAGGGCAGAAGTAGGTAATGATAGTGGCTTTGGCTCGCAAGTACTTGTCCTCAGACTCGGTGTAAGTTACCAAAGTCTAGATTGGCCAGATTGTGGATACAGAAAGCTCTAGCAGATTTACTTCGAGGACAAAGAGCTCACCGGTTGAGCCTGCTTTAAAGTTCTAAGTTGAGGTTCTTAAGGGCATACCCTAATTCGGTTATATGAAAAGGTTGACCCACATACGGCGCAGAGGATTTAAATAGATAACCCCTAGTTGGGTTGCAGGTATGGCATCTAGTGTAGAACTTAGTAATAAGCAGACTACTTAAATAGGCAACCAAAAGTTGTACGTATGGCTAGTATGTACCTTCCAAAAATATATATACTGTACGGATGTCAAAAGGGGCTAAGCATACGGTAAAGTTAATCAATAACTAAATAAAGAGACCTGACCAAGAGGTCACCTTAATATTAAAAAAAAAAAAAAAAAAAAACTTCAAAGAGAAATATTGATGAAACATACGAAGTTGGTAATTGTAATCAAAATGAAATTAGATCTGTGAAGTAGGATGCTTTGCATCTGAAAGATTGGCATTATAAATTGTAATGCATATATGACTTCACTATTATAAACAATATAGAGAATATTCATAGAATATTTTAAGTTAGTATCTGACCTGATGTATTTAATATTTTATTTATTTGATTTTTTGTGAAAAGTGCATAACATATATTAATAACTTACACTCTATTTATCTAATTTCAGAACTTGGTTCCAATCTTTACGGAGATATAGAGGGTTCTCTTTTGCTCTAGTTAAATCAATAACAATAAATTCTTGATTTTGTAAATTTTTATCAAGTATATCAACAACATTGTGCCATTTTTTTGTATATCGTCAAGCAATATTAACTAGCTCATCATAGGTACCACTATCATTGAAGAGAACAATATAATCAAAATTTTTTCTTATTAGTTTGGGACAGTCAAAAAAGCTTTGTGTTATATATATTGAACTGATATTAGCATGTTGCTTTTTACTAAAATACAGAGCAATTTTATCTTGTATTTTTTTAGACTTAGTATATAAATCTTTAAATACAACTACTGTTCCTCTTTTAGGAGAGAAATCATTAATTTTTGGTATTTTATCAGGTTTTATTGCTTGGAATATAATAGCCTTACAATATGGTTTAGAACTATTTGCAATTATTTCATAACAATGTTTCAGATATTTGTATTTCGGCTCATTAATATAATGTCCGATCAAAACCAAATTATTATTCTTAATATATCTTGTTTCACCTTTTTTTTCATTAAACAAATGATACATCTTGTTCTCAAGTAAAAAGTTGATAACTTCGTTAGTTTTTCCTGATCTGGTTCACCTACTAATTAATAAGTTAAAAGGCTATTGGGGTGTACTATTTAATGAGTTAAACCTTTCCGGATTATTATATTCATTGATATTTAAAACTATTTTCTCAATAGGGTCTAGCTTCTCTATTTTCATATTGATCAAGATAATTAATGCTAAATTATTGCTTTGCAGATATAAAGTATCTATATCGAAAAATAATGATTTTATAAGTTTATTCTTTATACGATAAATAACTTTTCTCTTGTACTTTGCTTTTTATATAAGGAAATAAATCTGCATCATATGGTATTTCAATAAGATCTATATCTTGCTCTTTGCATATATTCTGCTTTTTTTGATCACAGTTTTTTTGTGTATCTAGGTCAACCTTGCTATTGAGGTAAAAGTGTTTTAAAACAACACAAAAATGTTGGATGCCCTGGTATTCATATACCAATTTTAACTCTTCATTATACCCGTCTAATTGCATCCTATTTAAAAAAGATAGTTTACAAAATGGAAATTTCTTACCTAACAGATTCTTAAAAATATATCTTGCAGAACACTCTCCTTTAAAATATAAACAAATTGGGTACTATTCAAATTTACATTTCTGGATCTTATAAGATGCTTCCTATTGATAGAGTTCTTTTTTGCAAGACCAGAGATATACATCAAAACTATTTATTTGATTAGTTTTACTAAGACATTTTTCACTATACTTCTTAGCATATGCAATGGCTTTAGCTATTTTATTACTAATATGAATAAAATTAACAGACCTGGAATGAGTATTTTCTTCTAATATACTCTGGGATAGATACTGAAGTTTTTCAAGATCAATTAGCATGAGTTCCTCAAGTACAAACCCACATGTAGATGCAAATTCTCTATCTAAATAATATAATATTGGCTCATTCTTTGTTACTACAATTTTTTGAATTTTATATAAAGAAGATAAAAATGTCAGATTTGTGGCTCTTCACTGATTTTCCATACCTCCTTCCCATTCCGCATTAGTGAGTAAGTAATGAACGGTATCTCCCTTTTTTTTTAATTTTTCTTCATCTTTACTAACTGAACATTTATATTTTGTAGACTGTCTAGACTCTACTCTATCCAATCTAATTGCTTTCACAGATGCTAATCCCTATTTTTTCGATTCTGATGCTTATATAAGTCGTGTTAGATAATTATTCAAATATTCAAGAATTTTTGGTAAATATTTAACCCATGCTCTTATTAATTTAGGATTCTTGAATATACTTTCAATAGCAGATTGGACTTTGTATAATATCTCTGCCAATATCTTACAAAACCTGTCTACAATTGCAAGTCCTCAATGAGAGTATGGGCCTATAACTCAAATTGTAATATTATGTGCTTCTATTATTTTTGAAATTTCACCTATAAATTTTTTACTACCATCACATTATAATAAATCAGGCCAGGTAAAAGAGGTATTCGAATTATTATAAATTTTCTTAAATGCTATAGCTACTTTCGAACTATTCTTTGATATAAGAGAAACAGCATATTTAAAACAAGATACAACATCTATAACAGTAAGTGCCCATTTATATATCTTTTATTAATGGTATTATTTGTAGAGTGCAACAAATCACACATATGTATACAATTCAAACGTGAAATTTTATCATAACTCACCTTAGAAATTTTTTTTGGAGGTAGTGTATATACTTGCTAGCTACTTTGATTATGCAACCAATTACGAATTTTTTTATATAGAAAACTATACCACTGAATCTTTGATAGCTTTATATAATTTTCGAGCATTTGAATAGTAACCAGTTAAGTTATAATAAATTAACTGACAAACTAGAGCTAATTCCTCATCAGTACTAATTATGATACTAGGTTAGTTCATTTTTGATATATTTTACTATATTAATAAATTATTATTTGGTAAAGTTTTCAGAAGTGTCGATATATTATAGGCTTGTACAATGCTATCAGATACAATAGTATCTTCACCTAGTGAAACAATAAAAAAATTCAAAGCTAGTTTGCAGATAATAAAAAATCGATTCTGTAAATTACAATAGGATCTAGACTTAAAAGAGAGTTATATTAAATATCTCAAAAATAAAATTTTGATTTGAGATGAAAAACTGGATCTATTATGACAGGAAATTTCTGATATTAAAGGGCAGTTGGAAAAAATACTTCAAGATTCTGAAAGCCAAGAGAATTATATAGACTATTTGAAAAAGTAATTAGTAATTTTTCAGGGTGATAATAACAAACTTAATGAAAAAATTCTTGGTTTGTATAAAAATTCTAATGATACTATAGATATGGCATAACAATCAGGATCAACCTGATTATCTTTGCCAAAAAATCAAGCTACAATCCAGAAACATAGAATTAAATGAGAGGTTGATAGCATTAGAGGATATTTTCAAAGCCCAATTACAATAGCACCTGCAATAAATGATATTAAAGAGAATCTTAATATAATTATTAATGCCAAAGATAGGTTTAAAAAGTTAGTACTAGATATATATTCACAGGCAAATGCTCGTGCAATTAGAGAAATGCAGAAAATCACGTGATTTTTTAGGGAAAGAGGGGTAGCTAATCTATCATGTTCTAAGAAAAATAAATTTTGATTAGTCAAT